CACAGGTAAATCCAAGATTTTTTATGAAAGAATGGAGTATCAGCCAGAATGCTGGTACTTGTCTGACATGCATAAAACATGACAGTGACTCTATTTTTTTCACCCATATTAGTTATTTCTCAATAATAAACAGCAGATATCCACCTTCTTCCCTCTCCCCTCCCCCCAGAACATTAGATTCTCCTTTTTTATACCATACAGAAATAAACTATGTTGGGCAAACATATGTGGAAAAACAAAACACAAACAGCCTATTAATGCTCAGAATTATATATGTATTCCCTGAAAATGTAAAGCATTTTTGCTTATTTATTATGTAAAACAAAAAAACTGTTAAGATGTTAATAAAATACAGTAGCCAAAGGAGCACTATTTGATTGTTTTTAATACAAAAACAAGGCATCTTTAGGAGGTTAACAGACAGACATACAGTATGAAATTTTCTGAAAAATTATTTTGATTATTTTAAATATAACAATATATTTCACATCATTTACCTACAGAGATTATTCTTTTAAACTATAGAATTGCAGGGATTTAATTTGTTTGCTTGCAACTGAACCTATGAATTTATAACAACAGTTTTGTCTTGGAGACCTGAACACCAGGTTTGTTGACTGAAGGTAAATGGAGTATTTATATATAATACAAACTGCACACTCTCAAAAACTATAGGACAACCATATTCTGTTAGTTGCCATTATCTTTGTCCTCAGTCAGAACTGTTCCTGGGGGGAAGAGCACTTTCAGTGTGAGACGTCATTATTTTGGTGGTCAGCCAGTTCTATGAATCACTACAACAGCATAAACACGTAATACACTTGCATAAATCCAGCTCCCCAGGAAACCAGCTAATACATTTCAACGCTGGTACCCAACCCAACTAAAAGAAGCATCAATTCAGCTCAAGCACAAATGATGTATGCCTTTTTTCCACGCCAAATATTTCTAAGCTGCAATTTTTCTTACAGAACTGTATGTGTTCTATTTGCCCAACTAATTTTAAAACATGAAATTTTTCGGACTATTAAAGTTCAGTGGCCAAAGCAAAAAAGGGTCCAAAACAAATATTCAAAAATATTTTCTTACCTGAAATACTTGAGCTGCAGCATAAAGATATAATAATTTTTAATCGACTTTTGAAGCACAGCTCTTTAGGTATGTTATACTTTCTGAATAGGTACGTAAAATGAACTATAGTCTTATAAAATATTTTAACAGGAGGAAAGTGCACTGAACTCTTAATTCGAAGTATACAATTAACATTTTCAAAACTCTGGAAACTACACCAGATCTGTTTAGATAAAACATCCTCATACTCCCCCAGCTTGCTCAGCATACATTTTGCCATCAATAAATAATCTCTACAGATATGTGTATAATGTGTAATGAGGAGTTTTATAACCAAATCCCAGAGAAAAACTCAAGTCGTAGAAACCCGGGCACTGTAATAAAATATTTTAAAGCACTTCATCAAGAAAATAGTTTGAGATATGACATCAGCCTCACAATGAAAGAGGTGTTTTAGTAATCTAGACATTTTAATAATATTATATATTGTCAGTGCATTACTTCTGGATTTGGGGATGGCTGCCTCTATACCCGTGCCCAGAGACATTTCCACACTGCATCTGTCTGTCTTACATAGGGAATTGTTGCAAAAATAGTGTTCATACAAAAATTCTATGACTTTTTGTGCCAAGTTTGGCACAAAAAAGGACTGCAGACTGGGTTCCCCATATACCTTAAGATGAGTGTGGTATAAGAAAGACCATGGATTTTCTTGACAGTAACAGCTGCTAGGCAGAATGAACTTATTCAGCTGTTCTGTATAAAACAGGAATTTTCTTTGTAAAATTCTTTGGTACTTCTGAAGCAAAAGTCAAATGTTTCATCCAACTCAAGGCTCTTTTTCCTCCCTCAAGACAATAGGTAGTCTTTTACACTCAAGAATAGGCCATTATGCGTAAAGGCAAAAATAGTGTATTCCCACACCATCTACTTGTGCTGTGACAGGTCTACACTTCATTAGTTTTCATTTACCAAAAGGAAACGAAATGATAACTTTTTCCAATGCAGAAGTTTCCACAACAGCAGCAAAACTTAAAATAAAAAATCTGTTTTTCATTAAGAAGCTCTCACATACATTAAAAAAGTAACGACAGCAACTATAAAAGACTGGCATTTTATATAAAGTAATATATCTGCCTGCTGTACAGAACCTAGCCATTGCAACTAAGTTAGACAGACATTTGGTTCTTCCCTTAATGAATAGCATTTTATAGTTTTTTCCATTGGCTTTTTATCTGTCCTGGCACAGGGTGAACATGTTTTAAGAAGAGTAATTCAAATTAAAGCCTGCCATACGGTCCAGTCCTTCAAAACAATCCATGTGGGCAGACCCATAGTGAGTTCCAGTAAAGACACCAATGTTTTTGTAGGCTTACAGGTCTGTACAAAAGTATTACAGCCTGAGCTACATGTTTCACACCTAAAAATGAATGAAAATCTTCCCAAAGTTTTGGAGTGACTGGACCCAGAGTCTTGGCTTTCTTTTATGAAATATACCAGACACAGGCACCAAATTCTGCTCTAGAGCCAACCTTCCCTGAAGTTTACATGTACTTGAGTCTGGAGGCTTTTCAAGTCAGGGCTTATCTTGATTACAAAATTTATCAGGAAATTTTTCACAGTAAAATTTTCACAAGGGCTATTCAAGCTAATTAAGTCACTCTGGTATGCGCCAGATCAAACATAAGTGGCTACTTAAAATCAACTCTGTTCAGAAAAAATAATAATCAGTAGTCTGATATGGCTCTACCTATGCTAACTCTGCTTTACAGAGAGGCTGGCTGGCTGTGCCCTAACTGTGGTAGTCAGGTTTTATATTAAGAACTGTAACACAAACAGCAGCTTCCTGGAACTAATCCAGGCATACAAGAATCAGATTGGGAATGTGCTGCTCTGTATTAAGGGGAGGTTTTCATGATGAAATCAGACAGACTAAGAAAAGCTAAAAGCTATGTTGAGTTTTCTTTTCACTAGCGATAGAAGGTAAAGCTAGCAAGGAAAAAGAAGCAGTGTTGAAATTCTTTCATCTGCACCTGGCAGGTAGTAACATGTACAGACTGAAAGAAAGATAAGCAAAGAAGGGAGACCAGGGCCCTATCTGGACATGGAAGCTGTGAATGCATGGCCAGACTTTTTCTTTGTTTTCAAGAAGTTACTAAATCGGACAGATTTGAGTTTTAAACAGCCCCAGCAATATATGTTAATACATATTTACCAAATTAGCAGCCAAACGTTCCTGTTCCAAATGTCACTTTAAAACCCAGCTATATTCTTCTGTCACCAATACGCAGTGGGAAGAAAAAAGTCAAACCTTATTGATCACATATACTATATTAAATTAGTCATTCAAGCTCTGCTTAGACTCTACTATTATTTCTTTCACAGTTTGAGTGTACAGTCCTGTATGATGCAAAAACTGTTCCATTTGGGAAACCAAAAAAGTGAGAGACAGACTATGATATGGAGCTCAAAATCCTTACTTTAAGTATAATGAGGACAACTTAATCTCCGGCAATTTATTGCCAAATAATCCAAACTTCAATATGTAAGGATTACCCTAATCTACCATTACAGGCCAGCTTCTTTCCTTTCCTTAAAACTGCTTGGATTTGTAATTGAGACAATCTACTAACATTTTCTGATTATTTGTTAAGTGAACTTTAACCCACAAAAATCCATTTCTGGCTAGAAGACAAGAGCACATTTGTGGGAGCCTAAGTGGTTGTGCTCCGCTTCTTAGGGAAGGGGTATGGAGCTAACAAATGGGCAACCCACACTAGGAAACAATGCTGACCACTGACCAGTTCACACTTGATGTGTGCAGACTAGGTTTCAGGTCATTCCTCCAGAAAGCAGCCTTTAGATATGAACTTGAAATAATATGAACCTAAAATGGCCAGGATTTCAGGTAGCCAACTGCAAATAAAGAACACTTCTCTGTTTTTTTTCACTATTGCTTATGTAGGTGACCTGAGAAGCAGGGCTCTGTCTCTTATTTTAACATCTGGATAGAGTTTGTTGTTTTATAGATCAAGTTAAATATATCAAACATTGACAATCATTCTCAGACTAGGGATTTTATGGCAAGAGACAGGGGATAATAGTGATTCAGTAGTCTCCTCTGGACTGGACAACTATGGAAGAGGATAAAATGCTCTTAAAAGTCCATGGCTTAAGGAGGAACAGGGTGATTTATTTTTATCCTGTTAACCATCTTAGGATATAAAAAGCAGAATACACCTCAATTCTGGGAACTTTACACAAATTCAGTTCATAGGCACTGATGGTAAAGAAGCCCCAACACAAGGCCAGACATAAGAGAGGTGCAAAAGATCTACCACTATTGCAAGGCAGAATTATAAGATGAAGGAAGGATTCAGAGGCCCACGTGAAGAAAACCAAGTTGAAAAGTGTCTTACTGGTTTCTACAGGTGAATTGTAATCTACCTACAGAGTGATGCCTTAAGCTCAGAACAGTAACATTCCTAACATTTGCCCTTAGGATGCGTGTGGTGAATTCTTTCAGGAGTGTCCTCCACAGCTGATAAAGGAAGCAGAACACACTTCTTCAAAAATGCATAGAAAGTCATTTAAATATTTTAACTGCTGATACCCAAAGCACAACCATGGAAGAAACTTCATTATGTAGAGAGTTTATTAAAAACACACAGGCATTTTCGACTGTAAGTCTACTGCATAAGAGTGAAACAGTAAAACCTGATCCTTTTCAACTATGTCCCTATTTTCAATAATAACAACCAACAGTAACTTTTAAGTTGAGGCAAGTGACAGAATAAGGATTTTCAGTAAAGAGATTCCACTAACTTTTGTATCAGCTTCTAAGTAAGATGTCCAGGCTAAGAAAGAAGAAACCAAGTCTTAAGGGAAAGAGCCATTTTATGCCAACTCCTAGCTCCCTCTCACCCCTATTTTTTTTTTTTAAGTATACAACATGAAAAATGCTAACTGTTCCTCTGGGCCACTGGCTAGACAACCCAACAGAAATAAAACAGCAGTGTAAAAGCAACCATCAGTCTATGAGCATAGTGCTTCTATACTTAAGCTCTAAATCATAACCAGCTTGATACAGTGTCTGCAGTAAAGTTTAACTGGTAGACCCTGAATATTAAACAGTCTTCTCAAAGCAGCCATTTTTACCAAACTTGATGGCTATTGCTGCTTTGGGATTATAAGGTTTTTCAGCATGTCAAAAGAGTTACCATCAGGATGCACAGACTCTACACCTTTGCCTTCCTCATGAACTTGAAGGAATCCACAATCATCAATACCAACAATCCATGCTATTGGGCCCTCCTCGCTCTGGAGACGGACTTGTTTACCACTGCAAAAGAATTTAAATTGAACAGGTTATAACAGAATGAAAAACAATTCAATGGGGATGACTACATCTCTGCGATTAGGCTAAACAGTAAAGGAGGGACCCTAAAGTCTCTATTACTAAAGAGAGTGTTATTCTTCACTTATCTGGCTCTTCAGAGAAATGTTCTTTATGTTTAATCTTCTCCTTACACGTCTCTGTGGAAAGCCTGGCCATCTATTTTTCCATCTCATGTATAATATTCATTAATACAGCAGAATTTCAACTTAAGCAAAGCAAAGAGCTATCAAAACCAAAACATTCTGGTTTTAGAAATGATGCATGCAAGATGCCTCACAATGTAATTAATTTAATTTAATTTATCCCATTCTAGCACAAATATTCATATAATTTTACCAGATAAAACACAAGGCAGTCCATACTTCTTTAAAGGTACTCCACTAGAACACTCACAATGAAAGGCAGATAACTGAGTTTTGCTTAGTTCTCTTAAAAGGGAATTAAAGAAGAGATGAACAAAAAATAAAGCTGTGCTTACCTGTGCACCCAATATTTATAGTAAAGGGGAAGAACTCCATTAGGCCCTTTCTCCTGAAAAGTATCTATCAGTCTTTCAAGCACAGTTACAGATTTTGCAATCAGACAGTCTGTAGTTAAGCACTTGAGCTTTGTGCCATATTTTTTATTGTGCTCTTTGATGAGATCATTGACGCAAATAGTAGGGTTGTTATTATTCACATTAAATCCAAAACCTGAGTAAGAAAAGGGAAAAAAGAAAGAACAGCATAGTACAGGAAACCCAAATTCTTCTCTTTCCAAGTAATGAACAACCAATTTCTTACCATAAAAATAAATATGCCTGTCCTTCCATGGCCATTTGGTGGGAAATCTTTGTAAAAGCTGTATCCACTAATGTATCAATTTTCTTCATTCTCTTGTATTCCCAAATCCATCCCCTTTCCTGCCTAACTTACATTTCAGTATCTTGCCTTAAATTCCCTTCTGCTGATAGATGCCACTTCAAACAGCTCCAATATAGCCCCCATTCTAACAAACTCATAATGAAGACTAAACTAAATATTAGTATCAAGAAAGATACTAACTAACTTGGTCATACAGCCATTGAAGCAGAAAATTTCTTCAATTGTTTTATGTTGATAGATAACTACCAAAATATCTGAGAGCAGATGATAAACTATACTCTGAGACTGAATTTTATCTAGCAGCCTAAAACGTGACTAAGAGTCTCTTCTATTTACTAAAGTTAACTGATTTCACGTTCTGAAAAGCAAGCCTTTTTCTTAAGCTCACAAGTCAGCAATTGGTTTGCTGGGAAAAGTCCAGAAGAATCTAACTGTCAGGATTAGACTCCAGCTCGTTTAATCTATCTTGCCATAGTATCCTTTAGAAGCTTAAAGTTCCTCACTGAGGTTACTCCAGCTAGGATAATGTTGGCAAAAAGCCATTCTTGTTTAAATATGGCTCTTGGGGCCTTTTTTGCAGCCTGCTGAAGCAGGCTTTGAGGGATGTAAAGAAATATCTTGAATTACCTGTTCATTTTTCCCTCCCCTAATAACGTGGACTTTCCTTTCCTTATGCAGTTTGAAAGCAGAATCAGACTTGTCACTCAGGTTTAGGGATAAGATAGGAAGCTCCAGATCATGTTATTTTACAACCTTGATACTAATGAGACTTTTAAAATGTGTAATTAATTCACCCTGAACTACCTTAAGAAAGGAGGTTCTCTACAATAATGAAGATGCTTTAAAAATGCTGAGTATGCACATGAAAGGGAGAACTATATAGGCGACAGTGTTATCTACTCCAAATATATCCGAACCACTGAAAGAAGGGAGGGAAAAGGAATATTATACAAGATGACAAGGAAATTGAGATGGAAAAACTTAACACACTGTGCAAAACAGATATAGCCCACAGACCGCCATTTCCATTCAAACTTGATAGATGTGAATAAAGAATTTAGATCCAGATCCAAAAACAGAGGCTTGGGCACAATGATGCTCACTGTCAACTACATCTGCCTGGCTCCTGTGGTAGAATTCACAAGTTAGATGGTTAAGTTCCCTATACAGTAAATGGGAAAAACAATGTGCCTAAAAGTGGGATTCACCATAGCCAACATGCTAACGTGCTGACCAGGGAGATGCCTAAGCTAATAAAGAGGAAATTTTGAACACGGAGTATTGTCCAAAAGCCTGCCTCTTACCCAAGTTTAGCTGGCACCTTCAGCCCTGAGTTAGATGACTATATGAGACTGCAATTTATAGCCCAATCCCCCTCCTGAACTTTGGCATTTAGGTTGTCTTTATGGGTAAGGACAACAGCCTCATTCTTTTCTTTCAAATATGGACATGGATGAAGGAGGAGGCATGGATGGTGGTGATGGTGTGTGCTTTTCCTGTAACAGCTTAGTTGCCAGAGTACCTATTAGGAAGTGGAAGATCTAATTCAGCAGTTCCTAATCTGTGGTATGGGTACCACCAGTAGTATGCAAACAACTTGTCACTGGTACAGGTTAACAGATTTATTCTACTTACTTCATATGACAAACATTTGCTGGTGGTACTTAAAGTTGAACTGAAAAATTTGATGGTGGTACTTAAGGTTGTATCATTTTAAATTAGTAGTGCACAATCTGTCAGAGTTTGGGAACCACTGATATAGTTCAATGCTCTCCTCAGCATGAGCGAGTACAAACCCATATGTTACCACCACTTTAACAACGGGTTCCAGGGTAGGCTAGACTAGGACAAGGGTGCTCTCCCCTCCCCTGCTGAAGCTGGATCGCTATGTTAAAAAGAACACAAGGTTCATATGTCAGAGAAAAAAGGAGCATGAGGGAGCCTGACTATAACCAGGGAAAGGTGACCCCTCCTGGGAGAAGGGAGCTTTCAGTTCTAGTAACTATCCTTGCATTGTTCATAAATTTTATAAAATGGCTCTAATGTAAATTGCTCAGGCAATACCATGAGCAGAAGATCAAACTGAAGCCTTAGAAATCTTTACACATGGACACATGAGTTTGCTTTGGATGCCTGATTAAGACAGCTGGCTAAAGGGCCTTTCTGGCTGTTTTTGCTTCAGAAATGGACACTTTGTGGGTGATCAGCAGGGATCTGGGTATTCCGTTCCCCATGGAAAAGTGCGTATCTTCCCTTTTAAAGATGAAAAACCTGTATTTTCCCTTTGAAGTGGGAAACAGCGGGTTTTCCCTTGCATGCTGGCAGAGTTCTGGCCTGGAAAGAGTTGCTTGGGGCTGGGGGGAGTGGGAGCGAGCACAATCAGAGGCAGGGGGTGCCACATGCATGCACACGTGTGGCCGGCAATACAGCCAGGCAGGGGGGTGGGAGCAGCCCTGACAGCTAGATGTAGGTAAGTCTAGGGGGCAGGGAGGAGGTGGAGGGCCAGGGCTTGGGAACTGTTCCATTAGGGCCAGGGGCTGAGCTCTGGTGAGCATGAATTGGCTCAGCAACATTGGAGGGCCCCCCAGTGGCACAGGGGTGGTCCAGGCATGCCGGAGCATGGTGCAGGGCCCCAATGGACTGGGGCTGGTCCCAGCCATCAGGGGCCAAAGTCTGATGAGCCCAAACTGGTCCTGTAGCATCGGGCTGGGGAGAGGAGAGGGGGGATGGCACAGGGGCGGTCCAGGTACGTGCACTGGTGATGTGTTGGGGAGGTAAGGGGTACACACCCCTCCCCCCACAGATTTCTGCACTGATAGTGGGGCATGGGGCTGCGGCTTGGCTGGACTGGCAGGGTTTGCCTCTATGGCCCAGCAGGCAGGACCCAGCTCGGGAGGGCAGAAAGAGGCATGGAGACTCAGTGCTGCCGCCACTGCCGGGAGCCCCATGCCAGCTGCACTGCTATGGCTGCCAAGGTGAGGTGCTCCCTGCCTGCCCAGCAACAGTGGGGGGGGCTGGTGGCACAGGGCAGTCCTGGCATGCCAGAGCTTGGCACACAGCCCCAATGGCATAGGCCATTTTGGGCCATCAGGGGCCAAGCTCTGACAAGTCTAAACCAGCCCTACACAATCAAGGAAGGGGCCATGCTCCAGAAAGTCCCACACACTCTCTTCCCCTCCCCTCTGGCCCCACACACTTACCCTCCACCCCACACAATGGGGGTCTGGGGTGGAGGAGCAGCTGGGGGCCCCTTACCTCCTCCAGGGCCAAGGGAGGTAGGGGGCTTCAGATTGGGAATGACGCGGCTTGGTTTCCCCCACAGATTGCTGTCTCATCCTCTGCCCCATCCAAGCTGAGGTAGGTCCCTGCCCTGGACTGCTGTGACACTGCTCACCGACCACCCTCACCTCACTGCCCTGGGTGGTTGCCCTTGCTGCTCACCCATAAGGCCTGCTCTGTCTGCAGGTCATGCTGGTAGAGCTGGCAGTGGCAGGACAGGGGGCTGCAGGTATGCTGGCAGGGCTAGGGGAGCTCTGATTTTCCATGATAAAAAACCCAAAATCAAATGCCAAAATACATAGATATTTAGAACGTATTGTATTATAATGTTTGGAGACACTGGTAGTCTTCCAAACTGCTTTAAGATTTTAAATACATCAGTAAAACACTGTTCAACTGATACCTACATATATAGTGGCATTTCATTTTAATCGCAGAAAAACACACACTTTGGGTTTTTTAAGCAGAGAATTTTGGATTTTTTAACAGAGAAAACCAGGATCCCTTGTGACCAGGGCACACAGGATCTTTAGATGTCTTTGTATCTACAGGTATTCATTATTACCCTTCAGTCACTGAATGCTTTTCTCTGGAACCAGATAACTTGGTTTATAAAGAGAAGCCACGTCTGTAGAAAATGATGGCTGCTTTTAGCATGGCAAGTAATCTTTCCCTGTTGTAGCCATCTGATATCACTACTACTACTAATCCAAGAAGGAGTTGATGTAGTTCCCCAGTATTCTCAAGGCTGTCACCAGAAGAGTGAAAGACATCACAGGCATCCTGGAGGTAATATTGAGGGGCAAGAGGAAAAGAACTTTTGACTGGTAGTGCAAACTATGGCACAGAAATCTTAGAAACTTTCAGTTAAACTTAAGAGGGTATGATTACCAAATTAAAATATACATCTTTTCAGACCTACTGTTGTGAAGAATCTTTTTCTGAAGATCACTGAGGGAAACAAAGAATTAGTTCCAGATTGAATCTGAATGTTTTGGTGCATGTGTTGAGCAATTCCAGGTCCAAAGTAAAGTGTAATAATAAGCCAGTAAAAGGATTTCCTATACAAGAAGGTAAATTCTTTTTCAAGACCTTTTTTTCCAAGACGGGTTTGATTTTGTCTTTGGACAGAACATTATTTCATTATTTCATATTGCCTTCAGGGTAGAATGGCTCTGAAAAAAACGTATGGAAGCAGCATGCACTTTTAAAAAGACAAAGAGGAAGCTTTTAAGCGTCTCCATGCAGTTTCTATTATCTATATGTAAACTCATTAAAAAATATAATCAACTTCTAAAGTTTTTATTATTCAAAATTAAATATAATAATGGCTGAAACTACTTTGTAGAAAAAGATGGTGACTGACTTCAACTATGTAATTTGCTTGCATCTTTATATTTAAGCTATCTGGGAAGGAAGCACATCTTCATTATCTCTGCAAAAAACCCACATGTCGTGCTATGTCTGTCCTCCTGAATTTGTCAAGGGACTGCCACTTAATTTTTAGACATATCAAGATTGAAGAAAGGAACAATCTGCAGCTTCCTACT